ACATTAGCGGTCGCCTCGTCTAACACTAGTATCCGATTGTCTCGTAGTATAGCTCTCGCCAGACATACCAATTGGCGCTGACCTACACTCAGATTACTGCCCCCTTCCCGAACCACTCCATCCAACTCTCCTGGCATTGACTGCACGACATCCCGGAGCTGTACCTCTTCCAGAGCCGACCAGAGCTCGTCGTCCGGGTGTTCATCAAAAGGATCCAAATTTTTACGCAAAGAACCCGTGAAGAGCACCGGTTCCTGAGGTATGATTGATATCTTACTCCTTAAGTCATGCAAACCAATAGTCTTGATGTCCACCCCGTCTATCAATATCTGTCCTAAAGGTTCTGTGAGTCGAAAGAGGGCTGCAATGAGTGATGACTTGCCGGCGCCCGTCCGGCCCACGACTCCCACCTTTTCTCCCCCTTTGAGGCAAACATTGATATCTTTGAGCACTTTATGCGGCGATTCGTTGTATTGAAGACTCATATTATTGAACACTATTTCTCCATTTTGTGGCCAATCTTTCTCCGGTCTCTTATAGAGAGTGGACTCGAGCTCTGCCTCGGGTTTAATGGCTGTGTATTCGAGCACTCGCTCGACAGCAGTCATATAGGACTCGGTATCGGCCGATAATTTAGTAGCGTATTGAATCAAACTGGCCAACGATAGGGCTTATCATAAATTTAAAATTACTATAATTAAATTAGTCCTTATTATATCAATATCTATGTATACCCGATGTTAACAAAAGTCCAGCACTTCCTCCGGGAATACCTATTAAAAAATAAACAAAATTAAATCTTACTTTGAATAAAAGATTAACAAACATACCGTCACCACTGATCATAATATATACAATAACAGCACTCATATATACAATACAAATGGTGTCCATTAAGACCCCGAGTGCTCGAGCGGTGCAAATGGATAGGAAAAAAGTAGAGGTGTTGTCGTTTTGGTGGACTTCAAACTGACGCTCAAACATATGCTGTGCGCCAAACGCACGGATCGATGTCAGCCCACACAGCGTTGTGTTCACGTGAGAGTACACCGGACTCCGGGCTAACGGAAAGTGAGAGTTAAATTTATTTAATAATTTATAAAATTAATTGATGTAAAACTTACACAACCCCTCCAACCGTTTTATATCCCTCGCGGCTCTGATATAAAAATAGCGACAAATGAACACTAATATCAACAAAAGTATTGCCGGAAATATCAAACACCAACTGACAATTGCATTTAATACAAGACTTCCGATAATAAAACAGAAATTCTGTTAAATATTCATAAATTGTTAGAATGTTTTAATCATTAATTAATTAAATTGTGAAAATTTACAATAATAAATTCAAAAGCAATTGATGGCAACAATTCGTCGACAATTCCCGTGTCTTTTGAAAATCTGTTTAGAATTCGTCCTAAAAATAAATTATAAATAAATTGATTTATTAATCATTAAAATGATAGCAAATGTGTTAAGAGTGTAACCGATGGGCGAACTCTCGAACAGATGTATCGGTGATCGCAATAATGCATAGAATATTCGGTTATAGAGATTAACCGAAGATCTCATACACATTATGTAGAAACAAATGGTGGACAACAGGGCCGACACAAACAGACCACACATTAGACTCGTGTAGATTATTATATTAAATCTCTGATCCACTTCTTCTGCATTTTTGCTCATTTTGTTTGTCCTAATAATAAATTGTTAATTTACATTCTTACAATATTTTTATAAAAAGTAGGTTTGCCAACTTTTCGAGATGTATATCTAGGAAATGATAGTTTGGTCATCACTCATAGTGAAAGGCGAGTGGCCAACTTTGAAATTAAAAAGTGATACTTATTTTGTTTTAACATAAAGTTTTAACACTTTATATGTATGTGTTAATAAATCATAAACAAATGTCACTCAATTGTTTTCTATGGGATGAGAAGTATTCATAAGTTGTCATAACTCAATGGTAATTACTATTGAATCAAGTTTGTAAAATATTTAACCGGTCGCCTGAGCTCATAATCATTGACAAATAATTATTACTACCATTGAATAATAAATACATGTAAATGTAATAAATGTATTTCTCATCTCCCATAGAAAACAATTGAGTTAATGTTAACGTTTGTTTAAGGTTAAAAAAGATTTACTGTAGTTTTGTTTTGGTTTTGCAAAACTCATATTTTAAAAACTAAGTTGTTTAGTTGGCAGTTTTAATAATAATATCACTTACCATAAACTCAACCAATAAACACTTCCCTGATTGAGAACTTGCGAAGAGATTAAAAACAAAATGGTAAGAGTTATGAGTAGAGGTCCGGCGCCGGCCTTAATGTAATCCATATAAACAGATGACTTAATGGATCCAATCATTTTGCGTTCGGCCTTCACTTCCTGTACGTCCACTTCTATCGGTTCCCTAACGTCCGTCACTTCCGATCCCTCACTAAGGGACGAGTCTATCGATGGTGTGAGAGATGTTCTCCTTTTGATATCTCTCCTATCATTTGATCCATCGGTTTGTTTCTGATATGCCATGAGATCAATGCCGCGCTCTTTGAGCTGAGTGTAGGACCCGATGGCCACACACTCGCCGTCGTTAGCACAAGTATTTGATGCGCGTCTTTGAGAATTCTGATATGCCATGAGATCAATGCCGCGCTCTTTGAGCTGAGTGTAGGACCCGATGGCCACACACTCGCCGTCGTTGAGCACAAGTATTTGATGCGCGTCTTTGAGAAACTGGATGTTATGGGTCACTAAAACCCTTGTCTTGTCTTTCAAGTACTCAATACAACATCTAATAAATGGGAAACACATTAACTGAATTAAAATATATTTTATTATTAACTTATACTTCTGGAAGATATGTTTGGCCACATGTGTGTCGACAGCACTTAAGGGGTCGTCCAAGAGGTAGATGTCTGCCGAGTGGTACAGAGCCCGGGCCAGACTTATGCGGGCCTTTTGGCCCCCACTTAACGATACTCCTCTCTCACCGACAAGTGTTTTATCCCCAAACGGCATGAGTTTGAAATCTGTGTCCAAAGCGCACGCCTTCACCACTCGATTGTATTTCTCTTCATTATATTGAGAGCCAAACAGAATATTCTGTCGAACACTCGCTATGAAA